AGCTACTGGAACCCCATGACCACTTAGAGGGAAAGCAGGGTACAAGTGGGGGTGATTTAGCTTTCTGGTTTAGGATCAAAGGCAAAAAATAGCCTTTCACTCCAAGAGATCTCCTTTCCATGCCATGGTATCAGAGAATACAAGAAAGGAGCTGGGGAGATGGCTTAGGTGGCCTGAGTCTGGATCTCTAGCACCTACTTAAGAAGCCGGGGGTGCTGCGCTGGCAGATGCCTGCACTCTTATTACCAGGGTGGTGGAAAGAGTGGATTCCCAGAACTCTCTGGCTCACCACCAGTTAGCAGAGATAAACTGCCAAGCTTCTAGTTTGGTGGTAGATCTTGTCTTAATGTGTACAAATATCAACATCCATCCGAAGTATGAGAAAGGTCTGTTTCGCACAGCATGACTCAAGTTTTGATGAGAAGTTCTGCTCACTTGGAAAAGAAGCTGATGTGCACTGACATTTGGTAGAGGAACACTCTAAGAATAGGAGAAGAATGTAGCAGCAATCATGACGGACCTTAGTAACCCAATCTAAAAAAACACCTAAATATCTGGCTGGGAGGACGACAGCTAAGCGCTAAAGGGCTGATCATAACTGCCTAGGTTCTGACTCTCCTTTTGTAGCAGTCCACAAAAGCGTCTCAATGCATACCACACCCGGTCAGTTACATGCTTTCCTGGGTACCAGAGTACTTTTATTACTAGAATGCAGTTACTGAGAAATGTCATTGTGAAGATAGATTCCAGGGACAAGTTTCTTTTTGTGTGATCCTGCTGACAAACAACAGCCAAAGACTCTATGATGTCTGACCACATCAAAGACTTGAAATTTTTAAAAATGTCACACTTTGTCACTGCTTTTCTCTCAGTTGTACTGATTTGACTCAGCTGATGCTGGTATCTGTTACAGCATGAGTGGTCCTTAGTTAGGCATGGCTAGCACTCAGGCTGCTATGGCAACTCGTCTCTCTGAACAGGGAGAAGAAAACGAGATCTTTATGTAGGTCGGCATGGAGAGAAGATGAAGGCTGGGGCAGCTGCTCAAGGGCTCTGGAAGACTTCATCCAGGATGTCTCCTGTGTCGATCTGATGCTCACACAAAGGCACAAAGAACTGCCTCAAGTCACAGAACACACTTTCTAGCACATCACAGCCGGAGGCACCATCAACTCTGCCTGCGATCCGTGTCCGAGAGGGAAAGTTCTTAGGGGTTCTGTTCCAACCTATCTCAAGGACTAATTAAATCCTCATTACTACCTTCTAATTATTCAAATACTGTGGGATTATGCTCAGGAAGTCCCTGCTGGCACGAGAGATGAAAAGGGTTAAACAAGCCGTGTTGGTTTTGCGAATCCAGTGATAGTGTAGTCCTTCAGAAAATCACCAGCATCAACATGAATATTTAACTAGATACCACTGTGAAAATTAAAAGGGAATTCAATTAAAAGGCTTGCAAAAAATTAATTCTGACCTCTCTACATCTGTCCAAATAAATAAGGCTTCCCTCAATGTTTTCACCTAATTGCTGATCCAATAAGCCAGAAGGGCATTTGCTAGTTTCATTAGGCTTAACGTGTTTTAGGGGTTAAAAATGTGATCACTTTAGTGTTAGTACTTATTATGCTTATTTATCTATTCAGATGACTGTTCTATATTCTGTCCAAGTCCTCCTGAGAAACGGGCCACACATTAATAAGCCTCACACTGCTCTTTAGGAAGTTTAAGATGTACACACTCAAAATAAGGAAATGAAATGAGGCCACATCGGCCTAAACTTCTTTGCTGCAGGTCTCCAGCACTCTATGCCTTCTGCCAGACGACTGCAAATGTGCACAGTGCTACATGGATTCCACAGAAAGACTTGGTTTAAAACAAGAACCAGTAACAGATGTGTTGTTACAGTTTAAGTAAGACATGTCCCCCAAAAGCTCCTGTTGAAGTCTTGGCTCCCAAAGTAGATTCAGTCATGGATTAAGTGATTGGATCATGAAGGCTCGGAGCTAATTAATAACTTATCCATGGACAGATTCATAGTTTGATGGTAGTGTTGGGAGGTGATGGGAACTGAGGAGGAGGAGGGAAGTGGGCTTGGCTGGAGGAAGCCGGTTACTGGGAGCCTGTCTGTGGAGGGACTGTTGTGCCCTGACCCTGTCCTACCTCTCTGTGCTTCCCAGGTGTCTGGGGTGAGTAACTGCTCCACTGTGCCCTCTCCTCGGTGCCCCAATCAATGGAGCCAGCTGATCTTGGACTACAACTTTGGAAACCCCAAACCCAAACAAATCTTTCCGCCTGTCACATTACTTACATCAGGTCTTTGTCAAACTAACAAAAGCTGACAAATGCATGTTATTGCAGATAACAAACCCAAGTTTTAACCTTTTTAAAAAAAATTATTCAGCTATTAAAACTTCAGCAGTGAAGTATCAATGAGTTTTAAGTTGGAAATAGGTGAAACTGTAGAAAGGACACCACAGAGCAGTGTTCTCAGCCTCCCCAATGCTTTGACCCTTTAATACAGTTCCTCATGGTGTGCTGACCCCAAGCATCAAATGATTTCCCTGCTACTGCATAATTGCAATTTTGCTACTATTCTTAATCATGATGTAAATATCTCATATGCAATCGCTGTGAAAACGTCATTTGACCCCTAAGGGGTCGAAACCCACAGGTTGATAACCACCACCACCACCGCAGAAGTGAATAGAGAGGTCAATCAACACCAAAGTTTTTCTATCCTTTCTGGAACCTATGTTGTGACATCTGTGTGTGGGCACCAACACCTTTCTTCTATAACAGGAAAATACAAAGCTGTCATCTAAGTACAACGTGGGGAAAGGTCTTCATGACCTATGCCCTTTGACAGAGCCACCAGGCGTCAGGAAGGAGTAGAGATGGAAGAAGTTAGAAACTCATCCTTCAGGGTTTGTGGGCATCATAAAGGCCTGCAGATACCAAAGTTGTGCAGACCCAGGTGGGACCTTGGCATCTGTGACCTCTTTTAATCCGGGCAGGTTGTTTATTGAGGAAGAGCATAAGGGCCAAGCAGAAGGTAACACACTGTATTAAATATGTAAGGTCTTAAAATAAGAATGTACTTAGAATGTAAGGGATGAGAACTGTACCAGGCACTTGGAATGGTTCAAGAATATGCTATTCTATGAGAAACATCCCTAGGGAAAACTAAACATATATGTACTGTACTTAGTTACCATAAGATCATTGATTACATTAATGAAATTTAAAAAAAAAAAAGCTAAGAGTTCATTCAACCTCTTGATCCTGGAGGGACTTGGCTCCAGGACCCTGGTGCTGTCCCAATTGTACCACGGGGATTTGGGGTAGGCCTCAGAAAGGAGCACCACACCCTTTTTTGTGGGCCTATGTTCAGGGAAGTGTTTATACAGTCCTGGACCTGAAAGAAAGCATGTCTCCAGTATGCATACAAGGAAGCACAATGTGGAATCTCACTACTTCACCTTCATCTCACTAAAACAAATGTAAAAGGAAACCACTCAACTTGCTTATTTCAACCCCAAGCAGTCGAGAAGCCATGTTCCTATCTGGTCTAACCCAAATCTGTGGTTTTGAAGAAAGACATTATGAAAATAGATTCTAGCTATCAAATATGTAAAACACCACTTTTTAAAAATTTTATTAAATGTTACTAGGAACAAACAATTCTTCTTAAATTTTAACAAATAAACTTATTTTCTTTTAATCCCTTTTACCTACTTTTAAAGGAAAATTATGTCAGTCCATTGCTTAACTTAATAGCTACTTTTAAAAAAGGAAGTTCTGCTTTTCTGGAAGCTGTCTAGCCATGCTTCCAAAGCTCTTTCAGAGAAGGAGGCTTAGGGAATAAAAACATTTTAGATCTAGCAACTCATACAATTAATTATTAATTTGCTGTATGAAGGAAATGGTTGCTGTAATGGCCCGGATTGTCAGGTATCCAGTGTATTAATCAAACCACACTGAAGGTAACAGGGAAAACTGGACAAACACAACAAAGCAGGGAAATGCCTACATTCTGCCCTGCAAATTGGTTTAACTAGGCTCCCTCCAAGATGTCATGCTTGTGTTTCTAGGTTTTCAAATCTTACCAGTTTTAAGGGCTGGGGAAATGCTGTTTGAGGGGCTGCTAGTTAGTATGCTGTACTTAGCATTTTAGGACCTCCAAACAATAGGTTACCTATGTCCTGCTCAGCACTGGCCTGAGTGAATAGATGCCCAATGCAGGAAAGACTCCTCTTACTGCCACATCACTGGCCCAACTACACACCCAAGATACAAGTCAGGACCAAGGAACTATAATCCTTCTGTACCCTGTCAGCACTGGCACCAGCTGAGAGCTTGTCAACAATGATGCCTAACTGTGCCACCCTAACCTTCTGATAAGAAATCTGGGGCAGACCCTGCAATGGGATTCACAATGTGCACATGACTCCCCCACACAATGAAGTTTCAAAGCCATCTCTACAAATCTCCCAGGAGTATTCAGGCACACCAGCACCCAGAAACTTCTGTCTCTAAGTGTGCCTGTGTGGAAACGGTAATACATCTGATCCACAAGCAGAAGTGGTCCATACCAACTGGGTTAAAATCATTCCTGGCCCCAGCAGTGATGTGCACCTCTTCTTTATACTAATCCGCATTAAAACTGCCTTTCCCTTCCCTCTGCCCCAGCAGCAACTTAGGACAAGAGGACTGAGGGATAAGCCTAAGGGACACCAGGCATCATGAACACACCATGGAGTGACGCACAGCCCCCAGCAAAGCCACACACACACACACACACACACACACACACACACACACACACACACACACACACACATTATTGTATAAGACCATGTTCTTTGGGCCTTGAGTCACCCTCTGCCAATTGTCACCCAATCTACAAAAAAGACTCCTTCCTCTTCATGATTGCTGTTACACAAAAGCTGATGTTCACTTGATAGGAAACACTATCTGTGTGGGTATGGCCTGAGACTCACCTCTTTCCTGTGGCATTGGTGACTGGCTCAAGGCAGGATGGGAACTGGATTCTGACTGGCTCCCTGGTGGTTGGGGAGGCATCTGGCTGCCTGTAAAACACAGGGGGGAAACAAGGATTTATATTTTGGATTAATACTGCAACCACAAAAACCAAGATACATTTAACAATTCACTTTTTTGTTTTTTTCTTTTTGTTTGTTTGTTTTTTCTCTTTTATTCTTTTATTAGTTCAAATTAGGAACAAGCTTGCTTCACATGTCAATCCCTTCTCCCTCTCAACATCCCCCCTGCCCCTAGCCATGCCCCCTCCACTCCCCAGGCAGGGTAAGGCCCTCAAAAGGGGCTACCCAAAGTCTATCACATCATCCTGGGCTAGGCCTGGGCCCTTCCCCATGTGTCCAGGTCAAGAGAGCATCCCTTCACATGGGATGGGCTCTTAAGATCCCTTCTTTTTTCTTTTTTTTTTTTTAAGACCTTACATAGTTAATACAGTGCGTTACCACTGTACAAATGGAAAAAAAATTAAGTTCAACATTTCTAGACCAATATGGCTGTTACTTTTTTTACAATGCCAACTCAACACAGTAAACTGGGATACTTTTTTCCAAAGTTGACAGCACAGCTAAAGTTTCCAAAAATTCAAATTATATATGCATATATATTTATATTTATATAAAAAGACCAATAATGGCAGTATGTTATGCATCAATAGCAACAACAGCTTTTCCAGGTTCTGCAGTCATTTGAACAAAATTAACAATTCACTTTTATGATCACAAAAAGTACAGAGCTCAAAAAGTATAAAATTTCATCTTTTTACATATAAAATAAAGAAGAAAAGACAGAGATATTTACTAAAAACCTGCTTAAAAATACAAAATCCAAGAATCTACTGCAGAAGGACTTATCAAACTCATGGAGGAAGCAGCAGTGGCTGCAATCCAACACACTAAACACCCTTCACCACATTCCACAAACCCAAGATGGCCAGCCAAACCTAGTGCTTGAGTCTGAACTCATTCCCACAGGACAGAAATGAGAATCGGCTGGCATTCACTCACCTGTGGCATCCAATCAATACAGTAACATTGATTTCTAATAAGCAATCAGAGGTTCACCCTGAACTTAGAAGGCCTCCACTAAAGTCACCAAGCAGGAGGTGCATCCACACTGAAGAGGGGCACTGCCCTGCAACATGTTTGTGTTACTGATGCAGCAACAGCATCTATTTACTTCACAGTTGTTTAATGCTCATTCTATTGTTTCTTCCCTTATAAATTTCTTGAGGTGAGAATCATGTCTTTTCATTCCTTAAATACCATCCTTAGCATGAAGAATATACAATAACTCATGATTACAGAATACAAAATAAAGAAAAAGACACTTATTTTATTGATAAAAGAGAGATGCTGAGGCTTGAGGCAAACTCTGAAATTAAGTATCATCCAAGGTACTTGACAGTGTTAACTCACTTCCTGGCCCAGAGGTTTAGACACATTTCTAAGACTTATGATATGGGTGGATTAAAAAGTATTGAATTTAACCCTACCCTCCAGGCCCAAGCACTCATGGCATGAGGGTACTGCTGCTTTATGCTCTACCTTCTCTCTCAGTTACAAAGAACGTAAAAGAGACACCTCAAACACACATGTAATGTCCCCACATGCCTGCCATGTGACCATGGCATCTTATGCTAACTACTTGGATTCCACAGGCTCTGTTCTCCCATAGCTAAATACATTGCCGACAAGAATCACAGCTGAATAGAAATGGAAACTAATGGCTTCAAGATCGCCACCAAGTAGTCAACCCACTGAGGTTGTGTGACACACATACATGCATCTTAGCACTTAAGTCTCTGGGGATGGCCACTCATGAGGACTCTAATAATAATGCTTGCACAGGACAACAAAAGGAAGGCAGATGATTTCCACGGCAGGGGGAAGGCAATAGCTATGAAAGCATGACTGTTAAACAATCCTCAGGTATATATTTCCAAGTGTTCCTCTGTCACACTCACGATACCTTGAGCAATGAGGAGCCCTTACAGGTACTCTCAGCCAATAGCAAAGAAGGCCTGACTAATAGCACAGTGTGCTCCAACTGGCTTCATCTTAGGTATCTATAGTAACCTAATATTAATACCAAATAATTACCTGTACAGTAAAAACATTTAACGTTCTGGTCTAAAACAACTCCAAGGGCAAACACTGGGCATTGATGTGGCTATAGATCTACAAAAACTGCTTTGTAGCCACTGTGGGTTATATGTTTCCTATGAAATGAAATGCCCCATGGCCCCAATCTATAGTCCATTTAGAAATTTAAAGCACTCTGCAGACAAACTCAGATTTTTAAAAGAGTCACTGGGGAACCAGTTGCCGCAAGACAGTAAGTGCTTACATTCTAATGCTTGCTTCTGCATGACAGGCTGGATACCTAGGCTCACATGGAGAAAACAAACAGCAATTCTATGTCAATACAGGGCAGTATGGCTTCCACTGTGAACGCCCGAGGCACTGCTCTCCCATACAATGCACCAAGCAAAAATAAAAAGGCTGCAAGAAACCCATCCCATCATGCATACAATGCTGCCACTGCCAACCACTGCTGTGGGCTACCTGGTACAATGTAAGGGTGATGTCCCTTCAAAGCAATGAAGAATGCACACATGAAATTTACCCTCTTAAGAAAATAAACAGCTGTTTTATGTTGAATAAATCCAAGTTGTTTCAATTTCCCCACTTTCCCCCTCTCTACTTAGCCTCTTCTAAAACTATTATGTAACTGATCACTTGGGAATAGCATCCTGCGTACATGCAGAGATAAATACTGTTACAGCAGATGGTCCAGAAAACATACATGTGAAATGTAACACAGGAGAACTCCCGGTGTCCACAGTCCACAGCAGGAAATCCAGATCCTTTTGGTGAACTGAATTAAGTAAATACCTTCAAATCTGTGGGGTTCTATATATGCTAATTCTAAGTAAAAACAATTTCACTGTTTACTAATTATTTCAAAGGAGGACAGTCATGTAAGGTAAAGAAATCAACCTTAGAAGGAACTCCAACCTCCATAAATCAATTTTTACCATAATTTAAGCCAAGGGGTTGTTTCCTTTGTTATGCCCCATGTTTTGCCCTCATCTATATCTGTAATGTGATAAGCACAACTGGAAAATACAACTAGACACCACTGTAAATGAGAATGAACCCCAACATTTACACCTATGTCTTTATTAACTAACAGTGGCATAAACACTTTTGTGTAACGATATGACAATTTAAAGTCAGGCACCAGTAGGTTACCTTAGTTTCTACTTCTGTTTAGCTGAAACACCAAGAACGGTACAGTGCCATCTTATGTGCAGAGTCCTATCTCCCTTCACGGATGCAGCTTTTTATGCAACTACAACGAAGTTATGTAGGGATCTATCTACAAACTTTATTTGAATGTGTCAATTTTCCCAGTAAATGTCCTGCTTCTAGGGTCATTCAATGTTGCTTTTAGCCACACCCTCTAGTGTCCCCTCAGTGTAGTCCAGTCTTTCCTGATGCCTTATAATCTTGACACTTTGGAATGTACCAATGAACTGTTTTGTCTGATGCTCCCCAGTCGAACTTGGGTAAAACATCTTCATTGCTGAAAATGAGGATATGCAATTTGAGACATGTGTGGGAAATGCCACACCCTTCTCTGGTCACCCTTTCATGGAGCTGGGGCACTGGCACATTCCATTTCTGGTGTTCATATTGATTACTTGATCTGGCTGATGTTTACTTTTGGGGGTGTTCATTTCCCCTTTGAGGCTGATCCAAGTGTCACATCTCCCGAAACTTTCACCGGCTAATTTCAGCACCTATCAGAAAATCCTGCCTATGAGGTTTACCACAATGGTATCTATATGCTACGAGTAGCTCCCTATTTCCCCTTAGACTTGCATGTGTGTCAAGTGGACTTCAACCTGAGGCAAGTCATGTCCTCCTATCACCCTCTTGCTCACCGAGGGAAGAACCATGGCAGGAGGGGCGACAGACTGTTCCTCCTGCAGTGTTGCCATATGTGGCAAAAGCGAAGGGTTCTGTCTCTGGACAGGGACACCATCAAAAGGGAGGTGGCTCTGCATGAACCTGACCGCCACAGCAGACTTTGTCCATGATGTGACCTGACGTAGGAACGGGTAGGAATTGTTCAGCACTTGAGGATCTTCACTTATTACTATATGTTTTATTTTCAGTGAAAACAGTTGGCACGTGCATGTAGTGGAAGACAGAAGTAGGCACAGGTATCTTCTTTGATTGTTCTCCACCTATCTCCTGAGGCACAGTCTCTCTCAGAGCTCATCGATTCAGTTGTTGAGCTAGCCAACTTGCTTCTGGAATCCAGTCTGTTTCCTTCTCTGTGACTGCGGGTGGGCTACCACGTCCCTGGCTTTTCAGTGTGCTCTGGGGACACTCTAGTTCTAGTTCTTAGGATTCCATGGTAAATACTGAGGCATCCTCCTAGAATGTTCCCCAGACTCAAGGAAGTGTTTGGACAATAAGAGGTAGAGCCTAATGGAAGGTCTTTGGTTGTTGGGATAATGGCCTATAAAGGAATCCTAAAGATGTATGCCTTCTGTTCTTTCTTTTACTTCCTGGCCACCAGCAAATGAGCAACCATCTTTTACCCTGTGTTCCCATTAGGCCCCAAACAACAGGCAATTAACATATACCTAAACTTCCCAATTAAGGTCCAACACCCATCTTTTCTTTTGTTAACTCACAATGGATTTGCCATAGCCATGGGAAGCTAATGTATTTCCACAATAAACAGGAAGTGACCTGTACCGTGATCCAAATACAACTGGAAGCACATTCTCGCCAACTAGGGCTTCCAGATTGTTAGTTCCTGTGCTACACTTCCAGGTCTCCCCCTTTCCATTGCATACGTCCTTATTTTTAGGGCCATCAGAGCTTCAGGCTCATCCTGGATTTGTCTTGCACCAGTCTGGGATTCACGGGCCACTTTTACAAGTCCTGGTTCCAGTTTCTGGTGGCAGTGCTATAAGATTTAGCTCTGGGTTTCAGGGAGGCTCACAGTTAAT